TACACTGCCAGCTATTGCACATGTGCTGAGTAGTCAGGCTCGTTTATGTGATTGCTGTTGATGCTGGTGTCGGCTGGGACACCTCTTGAGTAAGTGCAATGAGTATCTAATAAAGGAATTGGTTTTTATAATATTGCACCATGAAGTCTTTCTGTTTCTCTCGAGTGCTTGGCATTTCCCCCCATGGATACGTTTTAAAGGTGGTCCTTTTTCTATTGGAGAAGTGGATTTTCGATTAACTACAAAGTTTTTCGTCCTGTTATTTCGATCGATGAGGATCGGTGTGTTGGAGAGCTTCCGTTTCTGAAGATATTTTTATGGATGATCTGCCATTATATTATCAAGGTTTTTTGGTGAAATTTTTTTTTTATATTGAGACACTTTTTTTTATATTGAGACACTCTTTTTGCACAAAAGTTTTTTTGCACCTAAAAAGTTTTTTATATTTTTTCTGTGGTATTTTTCTGGACTTATGATTTGATGATTTCTTTACATATATTTATATATATTTACTAGCGCAAATTATTTATTAATAAGTAAAAAAGGGGGCTGGGGGTGGAGCTGCACAGGGAAGGGTTTTTTTTTTACCTCTATGCAGAGAATGCATTAATCTAAAAAACCTTTACAACTACTTTAACCCTCCCTCTGATCCTACAAATTACCTTTATCTGCTTCTTATAGAGCTTTGCTGTGCTGTCCGCTGGAAGTCACAGCCTTCATGTGAAAATCTTCTGAATGGGCCCAGCATGTGCAGTAGTATCCCCATTCATTTCTTTGGAAAGGCCATCCACCATCACAGCTAATGCATACTAAAAGTACAGTTATCCTACTAGTCAGGATGGCGTAAAGAAGATTTTTTTAAAGATATATTTTTTAATGTAAAGCGGAGTTCCAGTTGCACTGTGAAAAATTATAAGTCAGCAGCTACAAAAGCTGTAGCTGCTGACTTTTAAAAAAACAGCCACTCACCTGTCCCACGATCCCGTTGTGTCCATCATGCAGCCAGTTTCACCAGCCGTCTGGTGCTACAGGCGCCGGCATCTTCCAATGTGGGCACCCGGCTGCGACAGCTTGCAGCGGAAGTGGGAGCGGGTACCTGTCAATTTCGGGTACCTGCTCCCCAAAGGTGCCAATCCTTAATGGGGAGCGGGGGACCAGTCTTTATAAAGCGGAACTTCCCCTTTTGGGTGGAGCTCCATTTAGATAAGCAGTACAATAGGCGTACAATGTCACTGCAAACAATATTGTTTCAGGACAGAAGTCAAATAGATCGTACATGTTATAGAAGACCTTGGTCTGTAAACCGTGTACAATAGCTGCCAACTAAAAAAAAAGAAAAATGCTTTTTTTTCCTGCATAAAATAGGTTATACCTTCGTGACACACTTCAGTGTTCGTAGCATGTGCCTCAACAAGCAAAAACCTATTGTTTTCAAGAGCTCTTGTTCACATCTGACTGTTGGGTTGCTTGTAGCAAAACACCTGTTGCTGCAAAAAAAAAGTAGATGAGCTACTTTTTAGGCAGAATTGAGCTTTATTGTCCCCATAGACTTCAATGGAAATGCCTGAAAAGCGCGCCATGAGTGTGTTTATGTCTTTATTTCATACTTTTTGACGCACGTTTTCTGCTCAAACAGCAGCTGTCTGCCCCTCTTTCAGCAGCATTCCAAATGCCTAGTTGAAAAATGCCTAACAAAATCTTTAAAAACATGCAATTGTATTCCAAAGAAACCCTCAACAATGCTTGAAAAGACGCTTGAAACTGTGATACTTAGGTGTGAATGTAGCCTTAATGTCTTTAATGTTAATAATGAACATCACTGATATTGTAGAAGATTACAAACCTTGTATAATAGTGAAATTTATATTGCGTAAGTGTATTTCTTTAACAAAAATAAGGGGGTGAAAAGATATCTGTGAAGGTTCTATAACAGAGGGTAGAATTAGTTACGCTGACCATCTTATATGTAAAATGTCTTTCAGCACAGTAGTTGGGGACTTTTTTTCTTTTTTTTTATTATTATTAGGAATTTAAGCAAAACATAATAAAATTTGGATTAAAAAAAAAAACATTTTCAGACACCCGTTTGCTATATGTTAACTTAGAAAAGAATGGCTTGCTTGATTAACATTAACCAGCTGGATATACTATTTTTTATTTTTTATCTTTTTTTTTTTTTTCCTCTTCCTTTACATAAAAGAAAGGACAAAGTCTTACGCACTGCCCCACGTCTTCAACCTGTGGGGTTGTCCAACAAGAACTGGGGATTTATTAAGTTCACTTCAGCAGCATGTAACCTTTCCAAAGATTTTTTTTTTTATTTTAAAGGCCAAATCCAGTTTAGAAATAGAGGTGAGAGTTTGAACATCTGTTGAGTTTTTATCTGTGTCTTTGGCTCCTTTGTGAAGATTTCCCCAGCTCTTTTTTGTGTTACGCCTGGATGGCATATGAGGAGAATGGCGGACACCAGTAAAGAAAGGCACAGACCTCAACAATAACTTTACAGAGGTTCTTCACCTTTATCGCTCTAAAAAAACAAAAAAGTAATTTTGCTGCTGTGTCTATCTCCATTGAAGATATTTGCCCCTCTGTCCCTGTGCTTCCTTGTGAGCTGCTGTCTATTTGACTCCAGAATACGGAATAAGAGGAAGTCTCTCCAATGGAAACACAAATGACAAAATTTTATAGAGGTGTTAACACATACCCACTCTACTAGCCCAAAAATTAGGCTGGAGTTGGGTTGTGATTGGGAATAGAAGCACCCATATAACGTACATTTCCCACTTTCTTTATGTCCTTGCAAGCCACTGACCCACAACAGTATGAAGCAGAAGGGAAAATGGAAGTCCTGGTGTGCATACTTTTGTGTGAATGGTTAATCATAAAGTAAAGATAATGGGCTCCAGAGCTTTCAGCTCCAATATCTTCTAACCTAGCTAACCAGATTCGGTACTCCCCTACAAAGATTCTTCCAAGAATACAGCTGTTTCTGTGGCAACAAGGTATTCCTATATTCATTTAGAAAAATCACTAATTTCGGATTGCTCTATATTTAAATTTAATCAAAATAAAAAAAAACTCCACTTCTTTGGACCAGGTTTTCCCCATTTACACATTTTTCAGCTTATAATTACCAGAAAATATATATTTTTTTTTTAACAAATGTAAACAAATACATTTGGTTTTATTTGGGGGATTTTCAGATATTTTCAGATATTTTAGCTAATTTTTAACCAGTGCCAGAACATTTCGAATGGCATCTGTGGAACACATTCAAACTATGCAACAACCTTAGTTATAGAATTTTATGCCGCAAAATACAATTGGGTAGGTTATAAGATATATATTTTTTTCTTCATAGGTTTTCATTGTAAAGTGTGATTGCTATACATATTTTAACTGAAATGCACAATTCACTACCTTTAGACAAAATTTAGGGTCTTTAAATTCTAAACTGTTCTGGGAATAATAAAGAAGCAATTTAGTCTCATATACAGTGTTTTTTATGGGGATAAGATAAAATCTGCCATAATGTTTTATAATTGTAAAATTTTAGAGAATTTTATCAAGGACAGCCAATAGCCAGTTCTTCATTTAAATCATGTCTGTTATACACAATCCTTGATCGTCTCTTTTTAAAGCATAGTACAGATGTTGTGTGTACTGTATTGTTTGAATTCATAAAACTGTGTTAAACAGTAATATGAATTATATACGTTGGAATAGTGAGGCTGTACAATTAGAGCAGGGGTCTCGAAACTTTACTGTCCTTTAGGCTTTAGGTGGGCCACACTGTGGCCTCTCTGGGTGTAAACCATGTACCATCATTGGTTTAATGGAAGGGATAGGACCCCATTGATGGTGTCAGTGGGAGGAATAGTGCCCCATTGATGGTGTCAGTGGGAGGAATAGTGCCCCATCTTTGGTTTTAATGCGAAGAATGGTGCCCCATTGTTGGTATCGGTGGGAGGAGTAGTGTCTTATCATTGGTGTCAGTTGGAGGAAATTGTACCCCATTGTTGGTATCAGTGGGAGGAATAGTGCCCCATTGTTGGTATCAGTGGGCAAAATAGTGCCCCATTGTTGGTATCAATGGGCGAAATAGTGCCCCATTGTTGGTATCAGTGGGCGAAATAGTGCCCCATTGTTCAGTGGTATCATTGTGGGCGAAATAGGTGCCCCATTGTTGGTGTCAGTGGGAGAAATAGTGCCCCATTGTTGGTGTCAGTGGGAGAAATAGTGCCCCATTGTTGGTGTCAGTGGGATAAATGGTGCCCCATTGTTGGTGTCAGTGGGATAAATGGTGCCCCATTGTTGGTGTCAGTGGGAGAAATGGTGCCCCATTGTTGGTGTCAGTGGGAGAAATGGTGCCCCATTGTTGGTGTCAGTGGGAGAAATAGTGCCCCATTGTTGGTGTCAGTGGGAGAAATGGTGCCCCATTGTTGGTGTCAGTGGGAGAAATGGTGCCCCATTGTTGGTGTCAGTGGGAGAAATTGTGCCCCATTGTTCGTGTCATTGGGAGGAATAGTACACCAGCATTGGTTTTAATTGGAGGGATAGGGCCCCATTGATGGTGTCAGTGGGAGGAATAGTGCCCCATCATTGGTTTGAATGGGAGGAATAGTGCCCCATCGTTGGTATTGATGGGAGAAATAGGGCCTCATCAGTGGTTTTAGTGGGAGGATTGGTGGTTTATCATTGGTGTAATTTGGTGGAGTAGTGCCCCAAGGGCTGGATGCAGGCATGTAAAGGGCGACAGTTTGAAAACCATTTAATTAGAGAATATAATGGGAATGTGCAATTGTAGAGTAAGAGCGTAGAACTGGAGCGTGTGAATGAATTTACACACCAAATAAACTAATTTGTTTCTTTCATAGTTTGAAAAAGAGAAGCAACATGACATCCGGACCTTCTTCTCATCCAAACCTGCTTCTGACAAAAAGCGCAAGAGAACAGAGGAAGACCCAGAGACTACGGAGCTACAAGAGGAACAAGAAGAAGAACCTGCTGTGCAGGAAGTGTCTGATGTGGGTGCAGAAGTCTCAGCAGATAGCAGTGAAGTGATAGACGTTGATGCACTCTTTATAGATGAAGATTTTGAACAACAAGCCAAGCGTTTTCGTCCCACAGGTACACAGACTCCCAAATCCACCCCAAAAACCCCTCACATGGGAAAAAGAAAATCCTGGAGTGGCAAACCTTCTGCTTTGTTCTCCTCGCCTAAAGCACGTGGTTCTTCTGAAGGTACTATGTCCACACCTCCGAGGCCTCCACTCTCTGAGAAACACTGGAACTGTGAGAGTTGTACCTACACCAATAACGCTTTACTGCCTTACTGTGAGATCTGCGAAAGTCCCAGGAGCAAGAAATGTGAGTACAAAAGGCCAATAAGACTGTTTACCTATGGGTTTTTAACGGCATGTCCAGGCATTGCTTAACTATAACCCCAAACCTACCTCCTCCCCCCCCCCCGTATCATAAGCCAGCATCTTTAGCAAAAAACTGCACACCATAAACCCCCTCCACCAAACTTTACATTTGGCACAATGCAGTCAGTCAAGTACCATCCTTCTGGCTACCACTGAACCCAGACACGTCCATCAGATTGCCAGACAGAGAAGCGTGATTCATCACTCCGCAGAACACGTCTCCACTGCTCTATAGTCCAGTGGTGGCGTGCTTTACACCACTGTGTCTGATGTAAGGCTTGGATGCAGCTGCTCGGCCATGGAAACCAATTCCATGAAGCTCTCTATGCACTGTTGATGTGCTAATCTGAAGGCCACATGAAGTTTGGAGGTCTTTAGCTGCTCACTCTGCAGACAGTTGTTGACTTCTGCGTACTGTTCGCTTCAGCATGTGCTGACCCCACTCTGTCATTTTACATGGACTACCACTTGGTGGCCTAGTTGCTGTTCCCAGTTGCTTCCACTTTGTTATATTACCACTAACAGTTGACCATGGAATATTTAGTTCAAGGAAATTTCATGGATGGACTTATTGCACAGGTAGCAACCTATCACGGTAGCAAACTTGAATTCTCTGAGCTCCTGAGAGCGATCCATTCTTTCACCAATGTTTGTAGAAGCAGTCTGCATGTCTAGGTGCTTGATTTTATACACTTGTGGCCATGGAGGTGATTGGGACACTTGAATCCAATGATTTGGAGGGGTATCCCAATACTTTTCGCAATCTAGTGTATCTTTTTATCTGCAATCTTCTCTTCTCTGTATTTATACAGCTTGTCTGAGAGTTCAGGAAAAAGAGGTGGATAACTGAAATTACACTCTGAAGAGCTCAGTGAGGAGATCACTGAGAGATGATTGGAGGGAAGAGACACACCCTCCTTCACACCGCTCACAGGAACGGAACTGACCTGAGACTGTCAATCTGCTGGAGGTCCCTCTCCTGTCACCATTTATTCTTGGTGTCAGGAAAACTTGTCAGAAATGATTCATGCTTAAAAGGGCAGTAGACAAAAATTACACTTGGTGCTTTGGTTAGAGACAGGTACACACTGTAGAGGGATATGCTTTGGGCAAGTTTCTTGTCTGATATTTACAACCACATTAACTTAGGTCAGAAACTCTTCCCATCTTCTGGTTTCCTAATCTACCCTCCAGGGAGGTTAGTCTGTGAAGCATTATGTTGACCAGCATATATTTTTGAGTTGAGCCCTTTGTTAGATTTTAATCTGTTTTTTTTGTAATACAGCTGGGTTTAACATGTGTTCTCTTACATTCATTGATGGACAGTGCTCTTTTGATTCTTGACCATAAGGTTATATCGCCATTTTACAGGAGTAGGACTCTAGGCAGAAATAAGCTCAGCACTCCCTATGAGCTATCCTACCTGGTATAAAAGCCTCTCTCTGCTATAGTCAATTTATTTCTCTGCCTGGGGTTCCAAAGTAGTATTTTTTACCTTTTTTTCCTTGGATCGTCCAAAACACGGCTTTGTTACAAACTGGTTTGCCTATAGCAGAAATGGAGTTTTATACCAGCTAGGACTGCCCATAGGCGGTGCTGAGTTCTTTTCTACTTAGTGTCCTACTCCTGTCTAGTGTCCTACTACTGTAGGTGGTGATATAACCCTATGGTCAGGAATCAAAAAATCTGTGCCGTGAATTAACTCGGTGAAGGGGCTTTTATGGTGAGTAACAATCTTGTTTTTCAAAATTCTCCAGGTTGTAACTGCAGCCTCTTTTCACCTATTCTGTGCTGTAAGAAACAAGTGCACAGATCTTGTTTTTTTTGTTTGTTTTTTTTTTTATAGTATCATTTTTCCAGTATACAAAACATGAGGATACTAGCAACCAATGAGAGAATAAGGTCAACCAGCTGCTCACATGAATAATCATTATTAAAAAAAATTGTCTTTGTAAATTGAATTCTTTATTTTCACTCTTAGTATGAATCCAGTTACTAGTATAGCATGCTTTGCTGTTGAGGCATTCTAACTGGACCAGAAGTGTCAGGAGGGTGAACTTGTAAGACATATTCAGAGGGTGCACACTGGAGGGTTTTCTAGCTGATAAAGGTAATAACAAGCTCCTTGTTGTTCCATGTCTTAGGCATATTAACTTTTGAACTTTCAAATACTGAAAATAAAAAAAAAAAGGTATAAGGAACTGGATCTCTTAGTCCGGGGAGATGTCCTGCTTAGATGTTACACCTGATATAGGGAAAGTTCCCTTTGACAGCTCCCTAGAGGAAATTATTGTAGGTTGGCTTGAATCTCACTTTGCCTTATTGTGCATGGAGAAATTGCCAAGCCAGTTTTATAGCCAGTTGTGTCACTTATTGCTAGTAATTTTTTTTCATAACTTTTTTCCTGAAAAAGGATTTGCAAAGATTTTCACTAACTTCCTGTTTGATTATGGGACAGGAAATGAAAGGTAATCTCCCCAATGGGGCACAGATGGCAATAAACCCCAACAGGGGTTATAACCCTCCCATACTTCATTAAAAATGGAAAAATAGTTTTACCAATAGTTCTTGAACAAAGGACTTGAGCAGACTTTTCTTTTTTCTCTGATCCATACCCAGTTTAACCCCAATGATCACTGTTTCATTTGGTCCAGAATATGTTTTCTTCAGGGCTTTCCAAGCTCTGGTAAAAGGAGAAGGACCTTCAGAAATGTTTTCACTTTGCTTGTTTCACCTGTTGCTTGAGATTCCTTTTTAATTTCTTTTTCCTGAACTTAACCAAGGTCTGGAACAAACTTTTTTTTTTATGTTTTCTCTTGATTTTTACCCAAGTTAATCCTTCAGTCTTTGTGTCCAGAATATGTTTTCTTCAACACTCCAGCCCTGATGAAGGCGTACCGTCAAAACTTCAGAATCGTGTCCGATTTTACCAAACATTTTTTCTTTGTTTACTTGTTTCAACTCTTTTTTTTACGTTATACTCTTGTTTCAGTTGTTGCTTTTTTTTTCTTCTTTCACTTTAGTTACTTGTTTATCTTGTTGCTTGGAATTGCTTTTTAATAATTTTTTTCCTGAACCTAACCAGTGATTGGAGCAGACTTTACTCTTCTATTCCGATTACCCAGTTTAACTGTAAGGATCACTTTGTCTCCACTGTTCCTGAATGTTTTCTTCAGCGCTTTCCAATCTCTGATGAAGACCTTTGAAACCTCAGAAACATGTCAGCTTTTTATTAAACAACATTTTTCTTCTTTATTTACTTGTTTCCCTTTAATTTACTTTTTCACTTTATATACTTGTTTCAGTTGTTGCTTTCCTTTATTTACTTGATTCACTTTATTTGCTTGTTTCACTTTTTGCTTGGAATTGTTTTGTAATTATTTTTCTCCTGAACCTACCCAGGCACTGTCATAGACTTTACTGTTTTGTTCTGATTACCCAATTTAACCTTAAGGATTACCTCGTTTCCACTGGTCCAGAACGTTTGTTTTCTTCAACACTTTCCAATCTCCACCAAAAAAAGACCTGAAAATGGGGACTTTTGAGGCACAACATAGATATAAAAACATGGTTTATTTTGTATCAAAATTCAATATGTAAAACAACATTCTATTTCACAACAGTACTAAAGCATGTAAAAAATGAAAAGTTTACAATATCAAGGAGCAGCAAATCTCTTTCCATGTGATCCATATTCTTTGTAAACTTTAGGCTCATGAGCTCAAAAGTCCCCATTTTCAGGTCTTTTTGGTATATATTTACAATATTAGGGATGTGGCACTTAAACACAGATTTTAATATCAATTACTTTCCAATCTGAAGAAGTCGGACCTTCAGAACCCCAAAAACGTGTTGGATGTTTACTGAACGACAGATTTTCTTTATTTAGGAGTGAATTAAAGGCAAAGTTTACCTTTTACAAAAATTAAATTTTATAAACACACATCTTTTTGCAGATAAGAAAATGTGCATTTATTATTTTTTTTTTTTACACTGCAGCCTGTAACGCACCGCACCCTAGATCAGCAGATGCATGTCAGGCTTCTGTAGACTATCAGGATAGCTGTCTGTCTGTACCTCGTACAGGCAGACAGTCCCTGAATTGCAGGAAGACTCAATGACTACGAGAGCATTAACCAACGCCCTCATAGTTCATTGGGGACTACAAGCCGTCAGTCGCAGCGGGCGACATTACTTATAGTTCTTCCATTCACAGAACTCTGTGAATGAATGATGTGGCCCTGTGGGTGGAGCCACACATGGCTGTGCTGTTTTAAAATTGTGACAGCAGGTGCCCACAGTAACGAGGAGGGGGGAATCAGGTGGAGAATAGGCAGGAGCTGGAACATGTAACATGTTCCAAAGATGAACTTGTCATTTAAACTGTTTTAGCAATAAAAATACAGCAGTATAACAGGTTTGCATAGAAAGTACAAGTGACACACCCCCTTGTTAGGAAATAAAATCACATTTGTTGAGCAGCTGTCTATTCTCCTATGATAAGGGCTTTATGGTAAAGATGTGCTTCATCTTAAAGGCATGGAAAAATGGTTTAAGCCCTGATGAAGTTACTGTAAACTCCAGAAACGTATTGGATGAAAGAAAAACAAGAATTTTATTTGGAATGTTTGGACGAAATAAGTACCGTTGAACTCTGGAGTAGTGGTTCCCTTTTATACTTTTCTCTGCAGTCCTTTTCATGAAGGGCCCATAGGCTCTTCTGACTTTTGAACCAGAACCACAAGGTGCACACTATGCAGTGGAGGTCCAGCTCCTTTCACCTATGTCTGCCACAGCTGTATAACAATCAGTAATTTGTATAAAATATTGTAAAAGTAAAATCCTTCCAAAAGTAGCTTGCCATCCAAGTCCTTATACAGAAGCTGCCTAACATGTTTCAGTCCTTTGTTGACATGTATGCCGGCTGCGTGCATTGCAGCA